TTTTTTTATAAATTGCTGTGACAATTTCACAAAACTAAGCAGAAACTGTAAGCACTTTTTTAATGAGCAATTAGTGCTGTTCAATATTGAATTTACTCTAAAGGTTATATATACTCCACACTCTAAATTGTACCATTTTAAAATGCATTTGTACGCTTGTTGCGTTATGACTTACAAAGTCATTAAAAGCTATTTTTGCAGAGTTTTCTTTTTTTTTTTTTTTTATGGAAACCAATCAGAAGTTTTATCAAAAATAATAAGAGCGCTGTTCACAGTAACGATTTTTCTCTTAGAAACTTGACCGTAAATTTTAATTAGCCCAAGCAATTGTAAAAGGCTATGCTGGGAATAATAAACAGCTTTTCATTTTTGAATTTTCAAACTTTGTTAACAACACTTGTTCTTAGCACGAAAAAGTATCCTTTTATATACAGTGATCTCACTTTTAAAAGTTAATTGTATTTATTACAAGGGTAGTAGATCTTGATCAAGGAATTAACGAAGTATTACGTTTGTCGGCCATAGCAGTTTGTACGCTCATTATACGCAAACAGCGCTAAAGAGGACCCACCAGAGCAAGATAAAAAGTAGCGCCGTTAAACGAACTGTTGGAGATGTTCCTCCAGTAGCAGTTGTTAAAGTTGTGGTTTTCGGAGAACCTAAATAGATTTCAGCTGCTGTGACATGATAAATACGACTGAAATATGAAGATACAAAAATGTTCATAACCAATTTCAAAGCATTCATTTTTTTAATGGGAAACGAGACTTGCAGAAAATAATAATTTCTCATAAGCAGAAACAGGGAGGGGGGGGGGAGGGGGGGTTTACAGCAATTTTGAAGAGTCAAGTGTTTAAGGTAGTAATGTGCTACTGTTTATTAACTAACTTGTAGTTCCAGCTTCTTGCTTCATGCAAGCGTTATATGCAAGATAATCTGGGAATTCTATTGAACACAGATGAGCCAAACTGAAAAAGCAGATTTCTGCGTTCTTTTACATAGAAGTGGTTGAAATAACTTTGTGAAAATTATTCGTAGTTTACCGGAATGTTGAGTTTATTAATTGAGTGTCATTATGGGCCACGGAATTGTAAACAAGGTACTTCTGGAAAACAGGTTCATTTCTTTGGATTAAATTGAAGACGTTCTCCATAACTTCTCCATTCAAAGGTTTTTGACTTTCTGTAATTATAGCATACTTTTACTGGTTTTTCATAACGCCTGAGCGTGGCTATTTGAAGAATTAGTAGACTTTGGCGCCTTATATACTGTTTAGTCTATAATAAATACAAAATTTTGGACGATTCTCTTAAAACTTTTGGTAATTTTCTGGGTAACCAGCGGTTACGCAAATATTCAAAAATAAAAAATTCTTTTAGACCTATAGAATATGCTTCTTTCATTGAGTATTCTTTCTGCCATTTTGTGTTGTTGTCCTTATTTAGTTTGTCGAGGTCGATGTAATATGTCCTGAAACAGTATAAAATTGTTACATTGCCTTCTAAAAACGCAATTATGCCTCCTAGAAAGAAATAAGTTGTAACAGTTGAAGGACTAATATAAAGGGTGGAATAGTACGTTGCGTCCAAAATTTCTTCAGTGTTGATATCGTAATCATAAATTCTGAAAGCTGGATTATTTGCTCCGGCACCAGGCAAGGAACTAAACCACGGTGTAACGGCTGGTGCCATGAAGTAAACCTGCACGGTTTTTCTGGTCGCGGGGTCCTAAAACAGCAAACATTGTTTAATGTAAATTAGCGTAATTCAACCAGGTAAGTATTGACTTGTTGGGTCGGGGTGGAGTTCAGGACATACTCTGCTTAGACTGACAAATCCTTCTTTGTTATCTCTAAAGCACTGTGCGGTCAATATGATTGAGACCTCTATCAGTCGAAATCATACTTTTGTTTTCTGCAGTAAAAGTTAGTTATCTCACAAGATTTATTTTTGATTAATAAGGTTATCAATATTTTTTAAATCAAATATGTGCCTAATGAGTTTAAAAAAGTTAGAAGTTTGGCAGCTTTATTAAGAATGTCATTTTTCAGGCGCATTTAAAGGAGTTTTACTTTGACAATGTGGAAGGTGTCTGTGTGATGGTGCCCAAAAATCATAGATTTGATTGTTGTCGCATAATGGACAGTTATGTCGATAAATTTTTGGTTGTACTCAGGGTACATCCAGGTGAAGAATGGAGTTCTTTCGAATACTATAAAGTAATAAAATAATATGTATAAAGTAAAATTTAAAGATTTTTAAATCAAGACTTATATACAGATATAAATAAATATATACATGTGTATAATATCAGGCAAAAACTTAAGTGCTGTTAAGTTCACTAAGCTATTGATGTATGTCAATATTAAGTTGAAATATATTAGTGTTTTGAATTTTTAAAGCAACAGACGCAAACCTCCAGGAGCAATGTGAGCAACAACATGGACTCTGACACCATTCTTTTTTGCATCTTCTAAATTATCAATCATAAACTGAAACTGGCCAGCAGGGTCAGTTTTGTTGCTGAAGGAGTTATAAGCTGCATTAAATCTATAGTACAAGTTTGTATTTAGCACGAGCACTAGAGTATCGGGAGTTAGTTGATATTTATAGTAACCACCTTTGAGAAAAGTCTCCTAAAAGCAGATTCTCTTATTAAACAATGTTTTCTAGAGATTTAAAAAGTATATGTTTTTTGAGCGATGTTTATTCTGTGAATTATACCTTGTTATTGTCACCAATCCATTGTTTCCATAAATTAAAAGTGGTGTCATAAATTTCATGGTCTTTGTCAGGGAAGGCATTTGCAGGCGAGAAATCATGATTCCCAAATGTGGGTAAAACCAAAACTCCAGGAAACGCTTTGTTAACAAAGTTTGTAGCTTGTTTAAGTGCGCTTTCAAGAACTGAAGATGAGTGTGTACATTGGCTTTGATAGAGCGAACAAAATGTACATTTAATATAAGTTTTTTCTCATCATGTAAACAAAAATTCTCTTGTTATGATAAAATTAATGAAAATGACTGTATTCTAAAAATTCTTTGCCTCAATTAATGTAGTTTTTTCTTACTCGATACATTGTAATCATTAATATGAGGGAAATTATCGCCCGTCCACAGGATAAAATCTGGTAAAGATATTAATTCTCTGGCTGCACTCAACATATGATTGATAAGATTCTGGAAGAATTTTAAATAGTATTTTTGGAACAATACTCAAATAATAAATTATTATTTAACGAAGCTAACAGAAAATTCAGAGCTCACTAAGATTTACCGCATTAGCATCGCACATATAATCGCCATAGTCACCAAGTTTTTTATGGCTAGTCTCATTTGGTAACAGATGGCATAAAGATTCTGATGTTGGAATTCCTTTTACGGAATACTGTTGATCATAATGGAAGTCTGTAAACTGCAAGACGCGACCAGTCCTTGACAAGGGTACTGCTGTTGCAGTGGTTTCTACCGCTGTGGTTGCTTCTGCTTTAAATAGGGTTACATTTCGTAAGAGAAATTTAATGTTAAAAAATGCTCACTTTAAAGTTTTTTGTAAAGAACAGTCAATTTACGACTGCTAAAGTTTTTAAAATTCTTCACTGATACAGACTGCAAACAAGCAATAATAATAGGGGTCGTCGTTTATAAAGCAGAAGAATTAAACTTGCTAATTATTTGTGATTTTTATGCAAGATGCCAGACAAAACCTATTGCGTAACTTAAGTGGCAAATCAGTTAAGCGCTTAGCAAGTTCTTTTACCGGTTGTTTCCTGTGAAATGATTTTCAAACAGTCCTTATAGGCACTGTAATCGACATTTTCAATTGCACATAACGCTACAGCTCTAAAAATACTAACGTAAATAGTGCAGAGGTTGGAAAACAATCTCGTAAATTATATAGAAATTCCAGAAAAAAGCTACTTTTTTTAGCCCGACTTAAAAAATCGCAGTTGATAAATAATTATTTAGCCGTGAAGACATTTTTTCAGTGAAAGTTGTATAGGTTGCATAATGTTGTAGCATGAAGAAGTTGGAAAAGCACAAAAAATTACCTTTCATAATTATCAGACACGTTTTTTTGTTCAACACTAACTGAGCTGTATGTTGCATACAAATTGTATAAATTATTGTTGGTTTTCATCTGTTCCGTTAGTACTTTGAAAGAAGCTGGTGACAAAGACTCTTAAATTAGCAATTATGCTACAACGGGTTGCTGGCAAAAGTTTTCAGAAGGAATTACCGTACAAAGAAGAACAACTTAATTGCTCATTACGAAAGCCTGACCCATATTATACGCGTCTTTCATTTCGTATTCCAACATCCATGATTTTCCATTATCTGTATTCAACTGATTCAAGTCGACAAAGTAGGTCCTGTAAAGTTAGGGGCTGTAAAATGATTATTTTTTAACATTTGTTTCGCATAAAATATCAACTTTCGACTAAAACACCAGATCGATAATTGACAGAAATAGGTGGTAGAACTATTGCAAAAGCGTTGTTCGTAATTTTTACTCAAAGCAGTAATTAGAATGAATCATCCTTTAGTTGCTAAAAAGAAAGGATAAATGACGTGAACAAATTTTAATTATCCTCTTCAAAGAGTTAAAAATTTCTTTGCTCTGCTGTTTTTGCTAAATTCATTTCTTCTAATTTTCGATTTGTTTTTCTTTTTCATTGTAAAAACCACTGGAAGACTACGCTTTATATTTTCCTGAATACAACCATGTATGACTAATCATTGACCGTAGATAGTGTTAAAGAAGTATATTATAAACATTTTGTTGCTCACTTTACTGTTTCGAGAACTTCCAGTGCAGAATCAAATTCAAAAATTTTAAAAGATGGATTCTTTTTTCTGCTTGTATCGTCAAACTTTCCGCCAGCAGACACAGATGGTGTAATAAAAGCAACTTGCACTGCTTCATCCGTTTGAAGATTCTAAAAATTGCCTTTGAGCAGCACTAATCACTTCTGGCAAAAGAAATCGGGGTTTAATTACATTGCAAATGGTGAAAAAATGCTGAGCTTGGAAGGGAGATTCTTGCTGCTGCTCCTCCTGTTGTTCAAAATACAACCTGTCGCTAATGTAAAAGAAGGTAATAAAAGAATCATCTTCTGCTTTCCAACCACGAGACCACGTGACTTATAAATCTCAGTGTTACTGTGCCACTTGCTTTCATGGGTAAACGTTTTTAACATGCCGAGATAGACTTCAAAATTTACTACTATTAGAAATGTAATGGCGAACAAAAAAAATTTTTGAACCTTTATAATTCGGAAAGAATCTGTATGCTCAAATCCAAAGGTTATAAGCTTAATAACGTCTTTATAACGGACTATAAGATTGTAGAATCTTGAGTTGTAATCTGCTAACATCCACGTTTGTCCCGCAGTGTGTTGTGAAGCTGAAAAATAGAAGAAAGCTTGACGGAGAGCAAAGAAATTCTGAATTCTTTTCCGCTTTCTCTGTAGAACCCAAATGACCATTTGACAGGTGGGCAAGTAGAGTAGAACAAAAATTTTGTAAAAGTCCAACTAAAATCAATGGAGAAGAAAGTTTACCACCAGGCGGCAAGTGAGCGATTATATGAACAAATCGCCCTTTAGACTGAGCTTCCAAAAAAGTTTTTTCCATGAACTGAAACTGGCCTGCTGGGTCAGAACAGTTTACGAATTTTTTGATAAGAGGATTTTTTGTGTAATACAAATTAGTGTTGAGGCAAAGGACTGTAATCTTATTGTTAAGTAGTTGCTTGTAATATCCTCCTTTCAAGAAGGTCGCCTAAAAGAGATTCAAAAGTTAAAATCAGTCACAACATCTTTGACTTTTAAGTGGCATGAAAACACTTCAACTCACTTTATTTTTTGCTCCGACAAAACTTCTCCAAATGGAATAGCCCGTTTTATAAACATTGCTGTACTCATCGGGAAACTTAAACGGCTTAATCACGTCTAGGTTTCCAAAAACGGGTAAAATAACGGTTGCAGAAGAAAAATAAGACCTAATCAACTTTGTCACTGTTTTCATCCAGCTGTAGTAATCTGTAAAAAAAAGTATTTTTTGAACAACAGAAAAGGTTTAGCCTAAACTAAATAATTTAAATCGTACTGATATCAGTTAAAAAAGGATTTTGCGGCACAGTATCTCCACCCCAAATAACATACATCGGCTCTGGAACAGCACCTCGAGCAGCAGCTAACATACTTTTGAGAAGAGCCTGTAGTAGAGATTAAAACAGAATAAAATAAACAGCAAAGCATTTCACATTTAATGGACCTCGATATAGAAATGATCAGCAGAATGAACTCACCTCGTTTGTACCGCAGCCATAACTGCCATAAAGCCCAAAGCTTTCATTAGAACTGCAATTAACAGAACCCGGTTGGAAGTGTATGTCGGTGAAGTGCAAAATTCGAGAATGCGGACTTATTACAGTGCTAGTCAAACTTGGCGAAGGTTTTGCTGTGGTAGTTTCTATCACTTTTGTTGTCGTCGTCTCTGTTTTTATTGACGTTTGGGTTGTTGAAGTTGTGATTTTAACTGTAAATAGTTTCAAATCGATGTTCCACTTATGGCGTACTTGCCTGCTGTACTTAAGCAAACCATAAAAACATAATTTTTTTTACTTTGTTACGCAAAAAATCCCTTCATACTTCACTTGAATACGCAGAAGGTTCAGTCAAATCTAATCTTTTTTCAAAAAGAATTAGTTTGTAGTTATAATGAAGATTTTTTTTAAAAATGTTTTTGAGCTTTATGTGATTGAGAAGACACTCGATCTGATTAAGTTTTTTCTTGTGGTAGAACTATTCCGCATCAAATTGACCACTCTTTCTCAAATCCTCAATTTCTTTAACTTTTGCGGGATAATGTTACTTGTTCCTTAATACACAAAAATTGGAAAAGTTATCTCTATATGATGTATTAGTAAAAATTGACAACTTTCTCATAGTTATGGAAAAATGCTTTCATGGCTACTCATAGTCTTTTTTGAAAGGTCATAACTTTTTTTCAAAAAATCGATTACTTTCTTTTAAAGTACATCGTATATATTCTACCCTTGTTCCTCTCCGGAATGTTAATTTTTGTATAAATTGGAAATGGTAAAAATTTTTTATATGTTAATAGACGAAAGAAAGGGGCTGGTTTTCACTTTTTTTTTTCAAGATATTGGTTCTGTTGAATTTTTCTGCACGAAATACAATAAATTTCGTAATAGAGTGAAAAAGGACCACTAAATTATTGAAGGAAGAGCAAGCTGAGGTGGTGAGAATTTCGCTGAATTTCTTTGTTTCTTCAGCCGTATCATTCAGCTCGTTACAAAGCTGCAGAAGCACAACTCCTTTGTTTCATTGAACTTTCTAAAACCTCAGCCCGCCCTTTTTTTTAATAACTTTTTTCGTGTGGTTGTGTCATATTGGTATTAAGTGCGCTACGTGAAGGGAAAAATTTTACGCAAAGTTTGTTGCTTTGAGGCGAAGTAGTGTCTAAGTTATATCCTTTGTTATACAATTATTTTGCCTAATATTTTTTGATAAAAAAGTAATCATTTTGGAATGGAAACAGCTTATTATTCATATTTTCATTTTATAGTAGAAATTTATCATTTATTTTAACGGCAATTATGCTGATATGATTGTATAAATATAAGCATGCTGCAAAATGTTAAATCCATGCTAGTTTCGACGTTCTCTTCCAAAATTGACTGACTACTTTTGACTACAACATCTTTGTAATTGCTGGTGCAACTGTTGTGGGATTCTGTAAGGCTTGTTCATTTTGCGCCGATACTTATAGTGTAGTTCTCTTCAGAGTGAATATTAACATTATCACCGTTTTTTCGTAATTTTTGCTTCTAAGCCAGGGCTTTCGTGGAGTATCAGTCAAAGTTTGACCGAGGTCGCTGCCCGGTATTGTAGGGTTTTCAAAAGTGGTAAAATTTTCAGTTTCGCCTGTTGTGACGGTTGTTTTGGCCTTCGGTATTTGACCATTCGATGCAGTATTATAGAGGTCGAAGTTAATTAGGGGCTGATTAGCTATGCTTGTAAATCTTTAAAAATACGTTTTTAACTTCCCAGTTTTAGATCTACAATCAAAGAGTACTTTTATGTGTGCGTACCGTAAGAAGAAAAAAACTCTTTCATTCTCAAGCAAGGTGGACGGGGTTTTCAAGTTTGTGCAAAAGTATTGTTTCTGACGCTTTTCTTTTGCTGGGCATTTATTTCAACAATAATTACATGGTACAGGGTTATTATAGAGAGGTAAAACAAGCATGTTTGGTTGCGCTTAGCTTATTGTTGAAAATTTAATAAGTGGACCTTGTCAAGCTTTATAAAAGAGGCCACAGGCTGTCTGGTCTAATTGTCTGTGGTAGAGGAACATAGTGCAAACCAATTGGTGGATGAACGAGAGGCATGGTCGAAAGACATTTCGCCAGCGGTAATAAGAGATTCTGCATTTGTCGATTATTACAGTTATCTAAGGGGTGCTAAAGACTGCTTTCTGTTGACAATTATTTGATTCGCTAGTGGTTTGTTTGTACATATTAAAAAATAACTAGAAGTTTAAACTCATTGGATAGTAATTTTGAGGAATTGTTTCTGTATTCTGAACCTGCTGACAAAGTGTCCTGTTATCAGACAGTGAGTTGATACAACAGAAAGGCTTCCGAAAACGAAGGTAGCTGGTTTTGAAAAGGAGCTTATTGAAGATTTAGCTAAACGTTTGTCTACTCTTTCTACTTCTGCTGCTTATTATTTATCTGCCTGGAACGGACATTTCGTAACTTCCGAATTTTAGCCTCGAACTTTTTGGAGAGTGTTATTTTAAGACCTCTTTGCGGCTCTATCACTAAACTGAAGTGGTTTTTTACTAAATAACGTGTAAACAAACCGCTTTCGAGGCACTGTTTATGGGATTCCTGGTCAACGTGCAATAACCGACAAATCTGCTGCGTTCTAAAATGTAGTAAAATAATTCACCATTACGGACCATTAGTCACAATGCACTCACTCTTCGAAGCACCTTAGTGGAATTTTAAATACCTCCTGCCGCCGTCGTATGTTGCAATAGCACAAGCAGGGCATGTGTGAGATATGTAGTGCATGAAGAGTTCCTCGTCATACATCATTCTCACAGTTGTGTTTCTTAATGATTCCGCGTTTAGCGCATCTAAATAGGATTTCCACTGGAGATCTAACAATCATTGAAGACTTGTAATTTAAAAAATTGATTTAAAGTTTTCAAACCAAACTATTCTCAAACAGACCAAGGTCATATTCCCTTTTCACGGAATATTCTTTGTCGAAATAAGAGTATTCTTCATAAATGGCTAGTTTTGTAATATTACCCCAGAAGGTTCTAAATTCGAAATCATTAGGAAGTATCTTTTTTTGAAATTCTTTAATTGACTTATGAAACTTTTAAGACTTTTATTAATAGCTTACTCAATGTCTAATAAGTCTTGTTCATTTTGATAACTAAACAATCGGAAAGCAGGGCTATTCTTTCCAGTACGTAGATAGTTATCTCTTGGCGCTAAAGACGGTCCAATCCAAATGATCTGACTATCTACACTGTTTGGATCCTAAAATTTAATGGTTATTCGTCAGAAAATTACCGGTCATATAAGGGTATTGTCACTTTCTGCCCTCTCATTTGTTGCTTTTTTAAAAAACTGTCTGGTGTAATCAGATAAAGAATTTTTCACGCGTTACGGCAGTTTCGCTGAGGTCGTTTTAATGCAGAATAAAACTTGCGTCAACAATCTGGAAAGTGTCTGCATGCAAGTGCCCAAAGATCATCGTCTTGATGACAGACTTGTATTTTCTTATTATCTCGAGCAATTTTGTTTCATACTTTAGCAGCATAAGCTTCCCGTAAACTGCAATTAAAAGCTTTTTAGCAAGCGTTTATTTGTAACTTGTGCAAATCAGAGTGTCTCTGTGAACTGTTAAACTACTTACAGCCAGGAGGCACGTGTCCAATAATGTGGACAGATTTCCCATTTTTTTGGGCACTTTCTAGCGAGTCAGTAATGAACTGAAATTGTTCGAATGGGTCGTCTTGCTGCTGCGTTAAGGATTCAGTTGTGTAAATGCCAGTGTTCAGTCCAAGAATGCTCATTGTTCTTGACATCTCATATAAATAATAGCCACCTTTCAGAAATGACGTCTAGAAAAGTCTGATTGCTTGTTTAACTAAATTGACACTTAGCAATTAAGCTGCTCCTGAAGAGTTCTGCACAGGTTCTGTATTTTATTGAGAATGAATAATTATTTTTTATATTTTTTGCTCTCTACTGGGGAATATTTTCTTCTGATTTGTCTTCTACACGTTCAATCGAGTAAACACGGGTTACTCACTCTGGTTGAATTATCTATGCACATCTGCCAAGCTTTGTATAGATTTTCATATATGGTGATAGCATTGCTTGGGTGGGAAGCCAAAGCCTGATCGGATTGTCCAATTACTGGCAGTATTGTGCTATTTGGAAATATGTTTTTGACGTGTGAAAATATCTCAGTGATCCATTGCGTTAACTCTAAAGTATTTCATGCAATTTGTAGTACTGTTTGAAAAATTCAGTTGGGTTAAGCAACAGCTGAATTTTACTTAAGCTTCAGGTATTAAAAGGCAGTTACTCTTTTCCTCTTAACGTAATAAAATTAGTTACCTAAAATTGGCAACAAATATCACCTTCAATCTTGTAATTATTTCGGTGAGGCGCATAGCCTCCACTGAGAATGATTAGTGGCGACGTTTTTCCTTCAATTTCTGACGTAACTATTTTGGCGGATTTGAGTGCTTGGTCAAATAGTGCCTGTTAAATAAATGATTCACGAAAATCAACGACTTTGTAAAAACTTATTTGATAAAGAATTGGCGATTGTTACTGATGTTAATTGATTTTCCAACTCTGCGTTTTAGAGTGGTAAAGACTTTTTTGTTGTTAATGAGAAGTATTATCGACATGAAACTGACTGACCAGCGGAGAATCGCAGTCGTATTCACCGTAGTCACTGGTGGTGTTACAGTAGTTTTTGTATACTGGGTCATAATGAATATCTGAAAACTGTAGAATCAGCGTGTCTGCTGAGTCCCGTGTTGGTTTTAGACGATGCACTTTCGACGTCTTCCCGTAGATGTTGAAACTTCTAAGCGGATTCGCCACTACCAGTAGTAACAAAGCAATTAATACAGACGATGACATTCTGAAAATAATGTATGAATATAAGTTGGCGGTATTCGTTATTGGTTCGCTATTGTACTGCTTGGTTTTTATTCTCCCTTATGTTTGCTAAAATTTTATATTTCAAAAAGCTATAGTTATCTCTGACTTGTATATGTTTTTCTGACACAGTATCGTTGGTATTTCAACTACGAAATGAGCTGCAGATTAATTGCAATCTTACCAATAACGATGTAGTAACAATGAGCATTCATAGATATCTTATCATAATCGAATGGAATTTTCTTTGAAAAAAGTAGGAATTAATCCTTTACAATTTTTCAGTCTTTAAATTTGTTGGCAAATATTATATTTTTACCAAAAAGACAGCTTGCTACTTATTTTTCGGTGCCATAGGAACTGCATTTTTTTATTTTCTTTTTTTGTAGCATCAAATTAGCTTAGTAAAACAAATAGATAACTCATCTTCAAGATTAATTGTTGTTAAATTTGTAGAGTAATCTTTTGCCTTCTACAGCTCTATTATCACAAAGTAGAGGATCAATAATTCCTTATCAGGTTGGTAATTTAGGTTCAAAATAGATAATTTAAC